ATTTCTTATGTGTTATACAACGTATGGATTAGTGTTTTCAGTAATTGAGAGCCAGTTTTTCACAAATCATCAAAAAATCTAATGTTTTAAAATGAGTTTTAGATATATTTTTTGAATTAATCATCAATTTTGTGTTTTTTGTTTTTGTTGTTGTTTTTGTGTTGTAAACATATTTGACAACTCATTCCCCTCTCTAAACAGCTATTAGTAAAAATGTTACTTAATGTCCAAAATTAGCATAAATTTTGAATCACTTTTGTTTTGTTTTTAATTAGTAATTGCATTGAATTTAATGATGAGAAACACGATGTGTTAATAATATTGTATATTAAATTGTGTGTATTATTGCATTACAGGGATTACATCACCAGGGTTGGACACCCTATCACTAGCGCTGATAACATTGGTGCCGCTGATGACACTGCTGGCCCTACTGGGCGCCGCCTACTGGTGGCGGACACTGCGCCGAAAGTCGCGTATCAATGAAGTGCCAACGAGTGAGGACCCACTCATCGACCTCTCGCCCCCATCGCCATACGTCGGCCTCAGACCAATACAACTAATTGAAGTCAAAGCTCAGGGAAAATTTGGCTCTGTTTGGAAGGTATGTCCACTTGTAGTGGTGGCGATGATAGCGAGTGTTGACTAACGGGTGGTGTGTTTGACAGGCAAAGGACGGCAGCGATAACATGGTTGCGGTGAAGATCTTCTCACTGTCCGACCGCAACTCGTGGCAGATCGAGCAGGAGGTCTATCGGTTGCCGCAAATGAAACACAAAAACCTCTTAACATATTTGGGCGCCGAAAGGAGGGGCGAAGGCCTCGGCACCGAGTATTGGCTCATCACTGAATACCACTACAACGGCTCACTATGGGATTACCTCAAAGCTAATACTGTCGACTGGAATCAATTGCTTAACATAGCTCAAGGAATTGCCAGAGGTATGTGTGCCCACCACATGCATTGCCATTTACCATACCTGTCCCCCTCTTGCCATCAGCGCTCATTTGTTTGCAGTTTCTAATGATTGCTTTAATTGTTTTTAAGAATTCATTTTCTCAGAGTTTCTTGCTTTTTAATTAACTCTCGTTTGTACCCATTCTCTCTCTCTCTCTCTCTCTCTCACTCACTCACTCACTCAGAGATATAGAAATAAGGATTTAGTTGTTTTGAAGTGAAAAGCAACAAAAATGTGAGAACAGATTGATTGAGATCTGAATTCATATTCTCTCTAATATTTTCTATTCTTATTTGTGATGAATAACTAATTTTTTAGTTTTATTTCTCGCAAAAACAGATTAATTGTAGATAAATATCTCAACATTTTTTGCTTTTTCGTGCCTTTGTTTTACGCGTTCTTTCGTTGTCTTTAAACCAAATATTTTTAATATAAGACATTCCAAGCGTTTATTATAATAATTGTTGAGATAATAGC